TACCGCGCAGCAGCAAAAATGCCGTGACGCGGCAAAAGCTGACGTGTCACGGGGCTTATTCCCATGACACGGTGCCCATTTTTGTAATTCTGAAAAATTTTCTCCCGTGTCATGGGATTTTGCACCGTGTCATGGTGCAATTTCCCGTGACACGGTGCCCATTCCGTGACACGGGGATATTCCGTGTAATTTCCGCATACTTTTTACACCGTGACACGGCATATTGCAATGTGCCACGGTGGACAATGCCGTGTCAAGGAATTTCTTCCCGTGTCACGGTGCACATCCCGTGCCACGGAATTGCTCCTTGTTTTCTCCTCGTAATCCTTAAACGCGTTCTCACTTTCCGTAACCTAATTATTTCCCGCGTCACTCAGTTTTTTCCCGTGTCACGGGATCTTCCCCCGTCTGACGGTACCTGTCACCGTGTCACGGTGCTCTTTGCCGTGACACGGTATTTTTTTAGGGTTTTTTTTTTTTTTATCTTTTTAGGGTTCCGCGTGTTCCCTCTGCTCATTTTCCCTATAAATAGGACCCCCTTTCTGCAGTTCGGGGCACCAATAATCATTCTCTTTCACCTTGCACCAAAAATCATTATCTTCTCCCTCTTTAACCTAATTTCTAGCCTCCTTATTATTCCATAATAATTCCCCTAAGCACTCCAAGGAGTCTATACTAAACCCGTGGTTCCGTCCTTAAACCAAGGCGTGAAAGGTATAAATAACTGAGGGTTTGGACCAAATCAACTCTACTTTTTATTTAATTTAATTTCCATTAGATTTATATTTTTATTGAATTTACTAACAATTTATTCATGATGTAGCAATTTAAAGGAACGCGCGGAATGTAAGTAATTAATTAAATTAATTACTCTTATTTTATTTTATATTGCTAGTATCATGATTAGGTTATTTTACATTTGATTTGACTAACAATTTATTGTTGAATTGCTTCCAATATTAATGTTTATTCTATTATTATTTATTGATCACTATATTGCATGTTTAAAGGGAATATGTAAATGAAAATCACGCCTAATAAGATAATTTGGATAACCGGTTTAGGATCCTTTTTAATCTTGTTATTAATTCAAGTGATCACAAATATTTTAGAATTATGTGTTGCATTAATATTCAACCAATTTAGCTTAATAATAGTTTGGAGCAAATTGAATCTTTGTATGTATGCCTTTGAGATCGCAGGAATCACTTTTCACTATACGAATCGAGTAGAGGCCAATACGGGCGAATGTGACTCCATGACTCACTTCGTACCATCATCCCCGATCCTCCTTTCGTGGTTCCGAACCATATGGAGTTAGTATTCTCATGGATTATGAATGGGGTGTAACCTTCACGGGTCAATCGTTGTTGCCTATCATTGTCCCTTTATTCGTGGTTGCCTTAAATGATCCGTGAACGGTTTACATGTTCCTTAAAAACTTGTTGGCGGCTCCCTAATTTCCTTGTCGCTAATCGTATATGTCAATTCCTACTTCCTAAGAGTGCCAAGAATATTAACACATGCTTTTAACGTAGGCGCACTTCGAGCGACGCCTACAGAAGCATAGCCTTCAACGGTGGTTGATAGAAGCATATCCCTAGGCTAGGCATGCCGAGGAGATGATAGAGGCATAGCCTTTGGCTAGGCATGCCGAGGAGATGATAGAAGCATATCCCTCAACTAGGCATGCCGAGATGGTTAATAGAAGCATATCCCCCGGCTAGGCATACCGAGGAGATGATAAAGTCATAACCCTCGGCTAGGCATGTCGAGAAGGCCGAGGAGATGATAGAGGCATAACCCTCAACTAGGCATGCCGAGATGGTTAATAGAAGCATATCCCCCGATTGGGCATATCGAGGAGATGATAGAGGCATAGCCCTCGGCTAGGCATGCCGAGGCGGTTGATAGAAGCATGAAATTTGGCTAGGTATGCTGAGGGGGTAGCCAGACAAGGCGAGGGGATATGCTGGCAGGCCGAGGAGTAGCCAGGCAGGCCAAGGGGGTATCCTGGCAGGCTCTAGGGGGTATGCTGGCAGGCCGAGGGGGTATGCTGGCTGGTCGAGGGGGTATGCTGGCAGGCCGAGGGGGTAGCCAGGTAGGCCGAGAGGGTATGCTGGCAGGCCGAGGGGGTAGCCCAGCACATGCCGAGGGGGTATGCTGGCAGGCCGAGGGGGTAGCCAGGCAGGTCGAGGTGGGTAGCCAGGCAGGCCGAGGGGGTATGCCAGGCAAGCCGAGGGGGTATGCTAGCAGGCCAAGGGGGTAACCAAGCAGGTCGAGGGGGTATGCTGGCAGGCCGGTGGGGTAGCCAGGCAGACCGAGGGGGTATGCTGGCAGGCTGAGGGGGTATGCTGGCAGGCCGAGGGGGTAGCCAGGAAGACCAAGGGGGTAGCAAGGCAAGCCGAGGGGGTAGCCAGGCAGGCCAAAGGGGGTATGCTGGCAGGCCAAAGGGGGTATGCTGGCAGGCCTAAATGCCGATGGCCTTGATGTTCGGTGGGGCATGCCGAGAGCCTATTGTAGACTAGCTGGGGGCTCGGCTTGCCCATGATTCTTGAATTGTTCATTTCATTTGAGTGAGTTGTAAAATGATGAGATCTCAGCTTGTATAAGAGTTTGCCTCTAATATTTTCCTCGACTTCATGCTTATGCCAAGATGAGAGATTCAGAGCTACTCTAGTATCATCTTGATATGTGCTGTGGGGACGCCTAGTGTTCACCATGACTTCTTGTTAGCCTCCCCACAAACGGCGCGACCTGTTTCTGGAAACAGAATGCTCCTGGGAGTCTTAGGGTAGTAAGATATCAAGATGTCCTAAAGTTATGTCCAATGAATGTCCGAATTTCCCTCCGTTATGCCTTGCTGTCCGAGAGCTAGGCCTGCAAAAGAGAAAGAAGGTTAACTGCCCCGGGGGTGTGACCCGGGAAAGCCCCTCCGATGCTTAAGTCAGCAAATGTACTTTCTAGGGATAGAAAGTAGAGAGAGAAAGAGTACTTTAGAGAGAGAAAGAGTACTTTAGAGAGAGAGAAAGTAGAGAGAGAAGATTAGAGAATTAGGAAAAAGTTACAATCATTAATGATTGGAGAGCTATTTATAGATGTACTTTCAGGTGGCAGAAGTTGTACTTAATTGGACCGATTAGGGGTAAATCCGTACTTTGCTCTGACTAATGATGGGATGGATCATGGAGGGGTATTTTCGTAATTCCAGGTCAATGGGTTTAGGACAATGGACTTGGCCCAAACATGCTTGTTTTTTCTATGTTGTACAATTATAAGTTTATAACATAATTTTTTTTTTTAATACTTTAGTTTGTGAATGGTATTGGTACTGGTGTGTTTTCTAATTATGCTACATGTTCAATAGTATTCTGTTTTTTTTTTTTTTCCTCTGTATGGTACTTGGTAACTATAAAAACTTGAGAATTAAATTTTTAGAGCTCTTCAACTAGTGTCAGCTTGAAACATTGAATGCCATAAGGATTTGAAATTTTATGCTAAGCTCTTTATTTGCACTCTTGTTACTAGGCTAATATGCAAATATAAATCATTGTTTTTCTCTGTAGAAAAGGACTTGTTGTCCCTTTGCTCAAATTGTATTAATTTCCCTCGATGTAAGTATCTTTTACCAGAGATGCATTCTTTAATTGATGTTTTCTTTATATGTATTTGCTCAAGTAGTATTGATTGACTTTTGTTTTAAATTGTTTGCTTTCATTCATGAATGAGCACTACAATCTATATATTTGAATGTATGCCTATTTTTCTAAATTTATTTATCTACACTTGTTTATTTTCCTATTTTTCGTTAAAATAATCCATCTATTTGTATGGACACTAATTTTGAATAATTAAGTGTGGGAAGTATAAAGTTGGAGGATTTATATGTGTCTCCCATTTTAAATGAAGACAAGTTTATATCTATTTTCCTATTCCGAAAAAATAGTCATTCCACTCCAACCAAAGTAGGCATAGGAGACCAAAGAGGCTGACTTCTAGTGTGTTCTCACCTTATTCCTTTTAAACCAAAGTGTTTAATCCATAAGTTCCTTCAAACTGGGATTTCCTGGTAGATGAACCCACCTCAGGTAATCCATATCACTAATTGACATTGCATAAATATATAGAAGGGGTACGATAGATTTCTATATAACCTCTATTTGTAATCAACTTCTTAACTATTTTTTTGAGGTGATATATTTCATTTAATCTCTATTTGTAATCAACTTCTTAACTATTTTTTGGTTATCTTATCCTTGACAGGATATCTGCTGGGACAATTGTACAACTTAGGGAACAATAACTAGCATACAACGCCATGACGGGGTCTGACTTTTAACACCTCTATTCCTTACGAAACTTGTAAACATTCATAATGCCATGCTAGCTACTACTCGTGCTACTTTTGCTAGTGCTTATGTTGTTGTTGCTGCCTATGGGACGATGTTCTTGTTGCTGCTTGCTCAACACCACTTCTGTTGCTGCCTCCTATTCTTTGGACATGCGATCTCCAAGTTTGTAATTTGGTTTGTTGATGATATATGTTACTACCTTGTTGAGCTTGTGCGGCTTGTGTACATGCAATATGTTGATTTGCTTCCAATTGTATTCTTATTTTTTTTGTTACAAAAAGTGTAATTTTACAGAAGTTTATTAATGGAAACATTTAAGATTATATGTTAATAAGTCTTTGCGTAGCAATTTCTAGTTCAATTTCTCTACAAATGCAAGTTATTTGTGGTTGGATAGAAGCAGTTTAGACTCACTACTACAAAAGTGACATTAGGTAACACTAAATGGTAACACTTTTAAAGTTATAAAGTTATTTGATGTATAAGTAACACATGTGTAACACTTTGGTTTTATGTAACACTTGATTGTAACACTTCTATATTAGGTAGCACTTGAGTGTAATACTTTGATTTTATGTAGCATTTGGTTGTAACACTAATATTAGTGACAGATGTTTAAAAAAAATAAAAACGTTCTTTTGACTTCTTTCTTTTTTTCTCCTTTTACTTTCCCAATTCCCTCTCTTAAAAACTCAATTTGTCAGTCATCGCCCCACGAGCCACTCCATGGTGATGCCCACCCAAGCCACTAGCCAACGAAGGTGGTTACCATACGGGTTGAGTGACGAATTGATGATCCATTTGTTCGCCGTTCGTCATTCGTCATCGGTCGTCTATTGTCTAGCGATCTAGCACGGATTGGGTCGGAGTTATTTCGTTTCAGGTAATCTGTAAAAAATTTTGTTTATTCTTTGTTGGTTTATTGATTTGTTTCTCAAATCTAGGGTTATTTGATTTTTTTCCTTGTTCCAATTGTTATGTGAATAATTTGAAATTAATTACTAATTAAGATTTTCAATTGTTAAATTGTATTTTTTTTTGGATACTCCAAATGAACTTTGGATTCTGTGTGAGTTTTGGTTTTGGATTTTGGGGTTTCAGGATGTGTTTGTAAGGTGTTTGATAAAATCCTTGACCGGAAATTTGGGGGGCTGGCGTTGAATTTTAATGATAACATTTGTATGGTTTTTTTTTTTACTGTCTACGCTCACTCAATCTGGAAGAAAATCTGGAAAATTCAAGTTCTACCACGCATTAAAATATTTGCTTGGAGAGCGTTGCAGAATGTTCTTCCAACTCGGCACAACATACACTATCGTGTTAAAGAGCAGGACCCGGACTGCAGCATTTGCCTAAGGGACTATGAGACTACTGTCCATGCCCTTAGGGACTGCAAGCTTGCTAAATCCGTTTGGGCTGGAAGTAATTTCACAATTGTTGCTGAGTCTCGTACCAATAGTGTCATTGATTGGTGGGAAGGGTGCCTATCTGAATTTGATGAGGTTGAAGTTGCTACTATTATCAATCTATGTTGGGCAATTTAGAGTGCTAGAAATGCTTATATTATGGAAGGTGATACCCCAAACCCCAAGAATATTGTTAGATATGCAATGAAGACTTGTGGGAAGGTGTGTGATGATCTGAATGGCTCTCTGGTTAGGCATAATAATGCTGGTGTGATATGGCCTGATAAGTGGTGCCCTCCTGCTGCTGGGTCCTTCAAAGTGAATACTGATGCAGGGTGTATGCGTGGCTTAGGGGCTGGTTTGGGTGATGTGCTTAGGGACGATCAGGGGGCAGTTTGTGTGTGTATAGTGTCTCAATCTCCTGACAATTGGGAACCAAATATTGCAGAGGCGAGGGCTGTGCTTGAAGGCATGAAGCTTGCGAAAAGTTATGGGGTGCAATATCTTATTGTGGAGAGCGATTGTTTGGCTATCATCCAAGCTTTGCGTGATAGAGTGAGTGGCTCGGGGTACCTTCATTTGATAGTGGATGACATACTAGATTTCTGTAAGCATTTTGTTTCCGTTAATTGGTCTTTTGTGAAGAAAGGGGGGAACAAAATTTCTCATTGTTTGGCTCATTTTCAACCATGGAAGGTTGGCCAAAGAGTGTGGCATGATGCAATCCCTTCTCGTGTGATGGAACTTGCTATTGCTGATTTAATCTAATGTTCTTTCCCCGTTGTGGATTTTTTTCAGAAAAAAAGGTAAGATTTTGTTGTAATACCCTTGCTACTTAGATAATCTAACAAACTAATCTAGACTTTGTTTTATGTGAAGTTAGGTGATCATGTGCTCGAATATGCGTTCAGGTGGGATCATAATTGTCTGCCTATCAAAGATATTAAGCTCTTAAACCCGTATCCAAATCACTGTAAGTGGCCAAGAGTGGTCCTATTACATACATACTTCTGCAGAACAAAAGTCAATGCATAGATTTGTGACTTCTTCATCATCAATAAACAAATAGATTTAATGAGAAAACGACTGGAATAACGGCAGCATTTTATAAAGCATTTTATAATGCATCTGATCCATGTAGGGAGAAAACCTTAAGTTTGAACATACATAAGTCACAATTCTCACAAAATTTTATATGATGCATGTGTTGCACTGTCAAAGACTGATTTTTGCGCACTATAATTGTAATTAATTAACAGTAATCTTGGTGGTAAGCTTGAGTACTTTGATTAATAATTGAACTAAGGGTTACAAGATAACAATAGCTTTAGGCTATTAATCTCAAGCAACTTTAGGCTACAACTCTCATGAGGTTAATCTCAACAATTTTCTGGACAAGTGGCTACTACATTCAACATTACTATTTATACTCAAGCACTAATATAACCTAAAACTAATAATAGTTGACCTCCACAGCTTAGGGAACACAATCTTTTTGCCATTGTTACTGAAGTAGTGAATCCTCCTTTTCGAACTTGTCTTCTTTCCTGAATTAGCTTTCTTGACAAAAGCTAACGCTCCTCCTGTTCCTCCAATTGTATCTCAGCTTCTGTCTTTTCTCTTTGGTTACCGTTGGTGTTGACTTGCCCATGAGCCTGACCCACATTACTCATCTTGGCCCTTCGTTGATAGACCTAAATGGGTTGGCCCAAATACGGATCCATCACATTACCCGCCGCCTCGAGATTCACCTTGTCCTCAAGGTGGAAGGACGGAAAACGCTCCGCTAAGGTGGCTGCATCTTCCCAAGTGGCTTCGAACTGAGGGAGCCCCTGCCATTTGATTAACACCTCTGGCTTTCGCATCCTGCCCTACCTCTCTAGCTTCCAACACGGCCTCGGGCACCACCACCAACTCCATCTCAGCTGTGAGTTGGGGAGGTATGGTCAGATTCACCGGAGTGTCTCCAATTGCGCGCTTGAGTTGCAAAATATGGAACACTGGGTGAATGTTGCAAGTGGGAGGCAGAGCTAAGCGGTACGCCACCTTCCCAATTCTCTCCTCCACCTGAAATGGGCCATAGCAGCGCCCCCCCAACTTCTCATTAGGGCGGATGGCTAATGAACGCTGCCGATACGGCTGGAGTTTGAGGAATACCCTGTCGCCGACCTCGAATTGCTCATCTCGCCTCTTATTGTCAACGTACTCCTTCATTAATTGTTGGGCTTTGAACAAATTAACCCTCAACTCATCGAGCATCTCATCCCTTTCCTTCAACGTCTCCTCCACCTGGTCCACCGGGGTCTGCCCTCGCCCCAAACGCCACAACTTGGGCGGATCCCGCCCATACACCACCTTAAACGGGGTGAGTTTGGTGGAGGTATGAGGGGAAGTATTGTAGGCGTATTCGGCCCAATGCAGCCAATACGCCCATTTCTTAGGTTGATCGGAGATGAAACACCGCAAATACGTCTCCAGTCCCTTGTTTACAATTTCTGTCTGGCCATCCGATCGGGGATGGTAAGACGTACTTCGCTTAATATGGGTGCCCTGTAACCGGAACAACTTTCGCCAGAAAATACTCATGAACACCCGATCTCGATTGGAGACGATCGTGGAAGGAAATCCGTGCAGCCGCACCACTTCCCGAACAAAGTGGTCAGCCACCTTGAGTGCACTGTAGGGGTGCTTCAACCCTATGAAATGGCTATACTTTGATAACCGGTCAACCACTACGAGCACTGAATTGATACCCTTAGAGAGCGGTAGCCCCTCCACGAAGTCCATAGATATATCCTCCCAAATAGCCTCCGGAATTGATAAGGGTTGCAACAACCCCAACGGACTCCGCTGAACCGCCTTACTCCGTTGGCAAGTCTCACACTTCCGCATATAGTCACCCACTGCCCGTCACATCCCCACCCAGAACCAATCGGCGGCGAGACGGAGGTAAGTCTTGACCTCCCCGTCGTGGCCGCCGGAAGCCGTGTCATGATACTCGTGAAGTAGAACTGGGATAAATATGGAAGACTTAGGCAACACTAACCTCCCCTTGAACATGACCCTCTTCCCATCTAAATGGAAGCCTATTGGGCTCTCTTCACCCCTCAGCAGGCCGTTTTGATTTGGGCCAGCCATACGTATTTCTCAATTTCCCCTTCCAATTCCTTCCAATCCACCACTTGAGAATGAACCATTACACTCAATTGCACACTTCCCTGATCTCTTCGTGATAGAGCATCGGCAACACAGTTAGATGCTCCCGGCCGATATTGCACCTCAAAATCGAACCCCACTAGCTTTCTCATCCACTTTTGATACTCACCCCCTACCTCTCTTTGTTGCGTGATGTACCGAAGACTTTGTCGATCGGTCCGAACTACGATGTGTCTACCAAGGAGGTAGTGTTTCCACCTTACAATAGCCAAGCATATTTCCATGAGTTCTTTCTCGTAGATTGATTTCTCCCTAGCCCTCACCCCTAACAACTTGCTAAAATACGCTATGCGTCTTCCATCTTGCATCATAACCGCTCCCACTCCGAAACCCGAGGCATCGGTTTCCACCACAAAATCCTTGGCGAAATCGGGCATGGCAAGGACGGGGCCATAACCATGGCTTCCTTAAGGCTCTCAAATGCGTGAGTGGCTTCCAAGGACCACCCAAAACAATCTTTCTTCAATTGTGAGGTGAGTGGTGCCGCAATTTGGGCATAATTTGCCACAAATTTGCGGTAATACCCGATTAATCCTAAAAATCCCCTTAATTCCCTCAAATTTTTAGGAGTTTCCCACTTCATAATGGCTTCAATCTTCTCTCCGTCCATTGCCACTCCATGGGCCGAAATTATATGGCCAAGGTAGGCCACCTTCTTTTGCCCTAAATCACATTTCTTGAGGTTAGCATAGAGGCTATTTTCGGCCAACCTCTCTAGCACCAACCTCACGTGCTCCTCATGATCTTCCTCACTCTTGCTATAGATCAATATATCATCAAATAACACCAAGACAAATTTCCTCAAAAACGGTCGAAACACATCGTTCATTAACTATTGGAAAGTAGCCGGCGTGTTAGTCAACCCAAAGGGCATCATCAAAAACTCGTAGTGACCCTCATGAGTTCTAAACGCGGTCTTGTGGGTATCTTCGGGTCTCACCCGAATTTGATGGTATCCGGGCTTCAAGTCCAACTTTGAGAAAACCACCGCTCCATGTAGCTCATCAATCACCGGTATCGGGTACTTATCCGGCACCGTTTCCTTGTTCAAAGCACGGTAGTCGACTTAAAAGCGCCAAGACCCATCCCTCTTCTTTACTAGCAAGACCAGTCTACTAAACTAGTAGATGGTCGAATTATGCCGGCATCCATCATCTCTTTGATCAATTTTTCAATTTCATCTTTTTGTGCTTGCGGGTACCGGTAGAGTCTAACACTCACCGGGTTGCTACCTCCTTTGAGGGTTATGGCATGTTCATGGTTGCGGTGGGGTGGTAACCCGGAAGGCATGTTGAACACCCCCTCAATTTTCTCAATGACCCCCCTTAGAAATCGTGGTACCTCACTCCCCCCTTGTACCTCACCTTGATCCTCCACCCGATTCACCTTCACGAGAACACCCCTCTTATTCTTGCAAAGGGTGCGTATCATAGCTTTGAGAGACACGCGGGTCCTCTCTAGATTAGGATCCCCAACTATCATGGTTGGCACACTCGCCACCTTGAAGCTCATAACATGAGTCTTCCAATTTGTCGTCACCGCCCCTAGCTTCTCTAACCATTGTACCTCGAGAATTACATCAACATTGCCCAAGCCCAATGGCAAAAAATCCTCCACTATTGTCACTCCCCCCCTCAAGCTCAACTTAACACCTCTACACACGCCTCTTCCTCTCACGGTCTCCCCATTTCCCAAGCACACTTCAAATTCCCCTCTCTTCTCCAGGGGCACCTTTGTTGCCTCCACCAACCCAAGTGACAAGAAGTTGTGGGTTTCCCCCGGGTCGATCATGACTAGCACCTCTCTCCCCAAGATCCTCCCTTTAAGCTTCATAGTTTTTGGGTTGGTCAACCCCACTACGGAGCACAAGCTAAGGATGCTTCCACCACCTCTTCCTCCCCTTCATACTCCTCGTCTTCCACCTCTTCTGGCCCTTCGGCCACCATCAAAACACTCAGCCCTTTTCTATTACACCGATGCCCAACTCCTCACCGTTCATCGCATCGAAAGCACAACCCCTTAGCCCATCGTTCTTGTAGTTCGGCTTCTGTGAGTCTTCGTGGCTCAGTTACTGATTTGGTGGAATGACTCACATTGGGCTTGTTTAAGCTTACAGACCCATGAGACTCACTCCCCTTGGGCCAACTCTTGCTTGGGTTCGGACTGGTTGGAAGCCCATAGGTAGAAATAAGGCCTCCACCCAACTTGCTGCTGGATCCCCCGAACCCGGACCCATTTGGGTTAGATCCTCCCCGCCAGGACCCGACACTTGTCTTTCCCTTACTGACCCGATCCCGCTTTTCTATCTCCCAGCCAAATCCATGGCCCGATCCAAAGTTGTTGGGCCCAACATTCGGATCTCGGCCTTAATATTCTCTTTAGCCTATTGATGAATTGGCCCTTCATAATTTCTTGTGGTATGTCTTCAAGGGGAAATGCCATCTCAATAAATTTCCTCCTGTATTCTTCCACCGTCCCCGTCTGACTGCTCCTGCAACGTGCCGGAGTTGGGTGGCCGGAACTCCTTCAATAGTCTACATCGCAGATCTGTCCAATGGGTAAAGGGTCGCCTGCGATTTTCCCAATGATACCATTGCAAGGCGGGACCATCCATCGCAACCACCGCGGCGGTAACGCGTTCCTCGTCGGAAAGTTGGTGAACGTCGAAATACATCTTCGCCCGCAACACCCAATTGTCCGGGTCCTTACCCTCGAACACCGGCATGTCTAGTTTCCGAGGTCTCCATCGGGCATCGCCACCACCACGCTCGTCGTTCCACTCTCGTGGGTCCCTATTCCTCCACCCTGGCATTCCGAACACCCCATTGAGTGGAGTGCGCACCTCATTCTCGCCGTTAGCTTGGCTGTTCTCGCCAGCCTCTAATGGCCTCTAATGGGATTACTGGTGGTCGATTTCTGGGCACCGTAGCCGCGGCGGCTATGGCTGCCTTCACCTCCTCTCGAAATTTCTCGTTATCCCTGGCCACCATGGAGGTTTGGAGTTCCTGATCCCTTCGGAGACGGTTAGTCCGGCCTTCCAACCGAATTCTATCTTCCTCCTGCCGCTTCTTCTCCGTCTCGAACAACGCCGCGAAATTATTTGTGATGACCTTTTGAGTGTCCATCATGGCTTTACTCACCGCCTCGGCCATCGCACGCCCGATAGAGGCTTCTTGGTCAGCGAATTTCTCTTCAATCGACTTCAGCCGTGACTCGACTGCTTCCAACCTCTCATCCGCCGCGTCAACTCGCTGACTCAAGGACGGTCCTCCGGCCATGATCGTCCTGCTCTGATACCAAGTTGTCAAAGACTGATTTTTGCGCACTATAATTGTAATTAATTAACAGTAATCTTGGTGGTAAGATTGAGTACTTTGATTAATAATTGAACTAAGGGTTACAAGATAACAATAGCTTTAGGCTATTAATCTCAAGCACCTTTAGGCTACAACTCTCATGAGGTTAATCTCAACAATTTTCTGGATAAGTGGCTACTACATTCAACATCACTATTTATACTCAAGCACTAACATAACCTAAAACTAATAATAGTTGACCTCCACAGCTTACGGAATACAATCTTTTTGCCATTGTTACTAAAGTAGTGAATCCTCCTTTTCGATCTTGTCTTCTTTCCTGAATTAGCTTCCTTGACAAAAGCTAACGCTCCTCCTGTTCCTCCAATTGTATCTCAGCTTCTGTTTTTTCTCTTTGGTTACCGTTGGTGTTGACTTGCCCATGAGCCTGACCCACATTACTCATCTTGGCCCTTCGTTGATAGACCTTAATGGGCTGGCCCAAATACGGATCCATCACACGCACACTCTCACACACACACAATTCCACTCTTTTATGCTTCTGACTTGTCAGCATTACGCACCATATTAGTATTGTTAAAATTTTAAGGTTTAAAAGCTAGTTATATTTATCCTAGATACTTCTGTTCTGTATGTGGAATTATTCTTGGGTTTGACATTCTTGTGATCGACTATCAAAATACGTATACTACTTTAAGTATGGTGAAAATTTTGACACAATTGATTTGATTTGGAGCATTTTGGCGGTATTTCAGTATGCCACTTCTTTAGTTTTGAAATTGTAATTGGATTTATTTCTTTTTCTTAATTACTCTACATCAAAATGTCAAATATCTATCTAGAGATAGGAAAGTAACTAGTGGTTTCATAACTTTGATCCTCTGATTTCCTGTAGTTTTAATTTACAAATTGATCACCTGTGAAGAACCATGTCCTCATCAGTCATCCGTACAAGTTATTAATACAAAGGAAAGTGATAGTCATAAAATTAGCTGCTACGTCTTGCTTTCTTTCTTTGCGGATGTTTGTATCTTTCTTTTAGTAGGACTGTAGTAATAAATTATACCCTCGGTTAAATGAATTAAAAGTTCTTTCCTTTTTAATCTTCCTGTTGAGGAGGGGGTTGTCGGGGATGGGTTTAAACTCAATATTTTAAGAAATTTCACTGAGCAATTTCCATTTTTAAACCTAGATACTCCAATATAAGTATAATTTTGATTCTAAGAAAGTTTGATGCATTGTGACACGCACTTAGTGTTTACATTACATTAGACTCCATATATTTTGAAAGACTGCCTTAAAATTCAATCAAATATCATCACATAAATAGTTAAGGAGTTTCATAGACAGTGAAGTAGGCACATTGTACACTTGACCTATTTGCACAGTACACTAGTGTCCAACCCTATACGCTAGATCACTATGAATCACAGCCCACCACCTGTTGTACTCAAATACATGCAGTAGGAACTAACCTATGCCTATAAAAATGTTTTCAATTGCTAGACTAAGCTAGCAATAGTGTCACATGTTACTTCCTATTCATGGTTTCTATTTCTTCATGACTTAGAATAGAGCACTAACTCTAATTTTTGCATTATTTCATTATTAATGGCTTAGAATAGAGCGAGCACTAACTCATATTTTTGCATTATTTCATTTTTGTTATAGTTCTTGTCTAATGTATGATGCTTTCACACATATATAGGATCAAATGGATGAAGACGAAAGATTAGGATAACAAGTAGTGATGAGACTAAATCGTGACCGAGATAAAGTTTGAAGCTTTTGGCTAAATGCTATCGCTGCTGCTGTCACTTATTGTTACTACTGTTTTGCTGCTACTACTGCAATCTGCTACGTTCTGCTGCTATTGTTGTTTGTTGTTGACTGCTGCTACTGCTGTTTGCTGCTACATACTACTGGTATTGATGTTTGTAGCTGCTGTTACTGTTGCTGCTGTTCTGCTAGTTAGCTGCTGGCCTGCTGCTATCATATTACTTCAGCATTGACTATTGTTTGAGATTTTTATTATTTCCTCACTTTTTCTAAGCTAGAGACTGAACCTAACTTTCTTTTTGTGAATTTATATTTAGGAAAATTGATGTTTATGGATGTTTTTTGTAAGAATTATGAAATTATTTCAATTAAAATTATTGTCTTTGATATATGTTAATTTCTCGTTCATGGTTTTGTTGTACATATTAATATTATTTTTATACTTAAAAAAATAATTAAATAATAATTATAATATAAAGGTGTTACATTAGTTTGCAAATAGTGATACATAATGTCTAATAAAGTGCTACTTTATGTCAAATGATAATTGAAAAATGTTTCTAAATAATCAGCAAGATGTTATATTAGTTCGAATAAGTGAAACATAACGTTGGATAAAGTGTTACTATATCATTGAAAAATGTTACTAAAGATAAGTAAGTGTTACATAAGAAATAAAAAGTAACACTTTAAAAATGATACCAATAATATAAAAAGTGTTACGTAAGAGGGTTTATAGTAACATTTTTGAAAGTGTTACCATACGTTATCCAAAGTGTTACATAAGACCTAAGAGAACATGGGCGGAAGTATCACCCCATAAAGTGTTACCTATTATCTATAATAACACTTTTACCACTTTATGTAACACTTTTTGGGTGATACTTAAGGTTAGTTTTGTACTAGTGACTAAAAATAAGCAGCATTATTTATTTATTATTTAATTATAAAAAAAATGTAAATTAGCAGCGGTTAAATGGGCATAACTGCGCTGCAAATCAATTGATTGATTTGTGCGGTTGTAACCGCCGCAAATTAATAGATTGATTTGCTGCCCTGGCATTTGCTACCACTCCAAAAATGTAGAAAATAAATATTTTTTAACCGCTGCAAATCAATGTTTTTCTACTAGTGAGGCTAAGTACTTCATACTTTGTAATTAAATGATGATTATGATTAGTGTTGATATGAAAAGGCATGCTTCAACGTCATGTTAAGATTTCATGACAAAGGGTTCCTAAGGGAAGGATTTTTTAGTCAAGTATCTGTGATGTGTGTGAAAGTGATACTAAAGTTAGGCTGCAAAGGCTAACGGTATGGAAAAATATTATTTCAAAAAGATTCAAATGATGGTGATTCTTAGGCTAGGTAAGCTTATGATGTAGGGATCAAGCCCCCAAGTCTAGCTCTAAATGGATAGGGATAAGCATCGGAGATCTCTTGATATGATCAATTATGAATGTAAATATGAATGCATTTTTTATTACGGCCGCACCTCGATGTGAGGTTGCCTACGTATCCGTTAGGAATCAGGACAAACGTAGCTTTAGCCAAACCTCGCACAAGTATGTGTATACCTCAAAGAGGTCTTTTGAGGGTTGTGGTTAGGCTAAAGGTTGAAGAAGAAGAGGATAAAGGCTCAAGACCCTAGATAAGCCCCCAAGGTGTGCAACCTTGTTTGTGAATCTTTGTATTATTATGCTTGAGGTTTCTCTCTTTTGAACTCTTTGCTTTTTTATTTTTGCTCTCTCTTTTTTTGCTTTATCTTTTAATTAATTTTTATAAGTGTGGGCAATCCCGATCATGCGGTCTATCACTCACCTAGAATTCATGTTTCTCAGGCACTGTACCTAGAACTCGATAAGAGACGCAATCTGAGACATGTTCTTATCAAAGATATATTCATATCAAAGACATTGGAACACTTGCCCTTTTACACACTTTTATTGTTTTTGCTTATTTTAATATTGAAATTACTCAAGCTTTTGTTCTTTTAAAATTGCATAAGTTGTACACCATCTTATCCCAAGGTTAGATAGATGTGGGTCGAAGAAAGAAAGGTATATCGTTAGATGAGGCTTAAAGTGGTCTATCAAGAAATGATTGTATATTTGAAGGGTGAAATGTAATATGATATGGCTACAAGGGGTGCCTCTAATCATACATATACCTTGTGCTTAGATCGACATGGATTTTTTTTAATGCAATATAATGCGATGATCATATGTAAAAAAATAAATGCTCATTTTATTAAAAGGAAAAGAAAGATCCTACAAAATAAATCGAATGGAAAATAAAAGGTGCCTATGCTAGACTTAATGGAGATAGGAAAGGAAAGATGGAATAAGAGGTCACAAAATCTTGTCATTGAAGCTCGCCTCTTGTCTTGTGCTTTATCATCACTTGCTCTTTTTTCCAGATGGAGGTATGGGAAGCTTGTTATTATCGATCAAATATTGGATGGTCTCATTTAGCTTTCAACAGCTCTCATTAGTATGACCCCTACCTTGATGGTACTTACAATGAGCGCCAGCATTCTAGTTAGGTGACCTATTTTCGAGTACTGGATCTTGAAGAGGTCTAATAGGAGTGATGAGTCCTTTGGCATGGAGTCGATCAAAAGCGGTATCGTAGTTCATCCCTATGGGGGTGAACTATTTCCTTATTTGTTTCTTAGGTCCCTGACTATCCATGGCTAAGACTTCATTGAGGTCAAAGGTAATAACATTGTTACTAGAGTGGGCGTTTTTGGAAGGATAAGGATTGTCGTTTTTCTTTCCTTTCCAGCCACTGTTGTTGCTATTGTTAGTAGCTTTCTGTTTTGCAAGGTCATCCTCAATTTCAATACCTATGTCATAGACGGTCTTGAAATTTATTCAAATTATGTTGATATTTCAAATGTTTCGAATACTTTTCTTGAAGGTTTTTGATGAACATCCTTACAGACTCCTTTTTCAGTAGGAACTTCAACCACATTAGTGGAAGTTTCCTTCCACTTGTTGAAGAAAGAGGTGAACCCTTCATTTTCCTTTTGCTTTAGCATCTCAAGTTGTCTATGGTCAGTTTCAACTTGAATGTTTCACTTATATCTATCAATGAAAGCATTTATTATTCTATCCCAACTAGAGGTTTTCTCTTTATCAAGAGAAAAGAACCAATGTTGACAAAAGGTTTCAAGAGATAGTGAGAACAGAGAATGAAAAACCTTCCTATCAATCCCTTTAATGTTAATTATGGTTTCAAAAGCCCTTAAGTGAAAATAAGGATTATCAGCTGGCTTAAACTTAGGGATGTCATTGGCATTGCACTTCTGTGGAAGAATCTCCCTGTCCGCCGAGGCCACTTGTGAGCTAATGCCCTGGAACCTATAGTCATTGGAGAGCTTGCTCAAGCTTTCTTGCATTCGGTCCATTTGTTGTTGTTTCACAGGGTCATTGATTTGAAGGACCATAGCCTTAATCATTTTAGTCATGTTAGCCACATCCTTCCTAAGTTCGTTGACTTCATCTTGAGACGCCATTATCTTCTTAGATTTTCTCTTTTGTCGAATCGGTTTATCAAAAAGTAGTAATTGGACAAAAGTGTTATCCTTGATTAAAACGCCCTTCTCTCCTTGACCAAGTGCTGTGGAAAGGGAAATTGGGGGTAAATTTTTATTTTTGACTCAAGATCTATTCAACATGAAATAAATGAGAAGAGATGGTGGAAGAAAAAGGAATGATATTGGTGAAAAACTGATGTTGATAGAGAAATATGAGAGAATGAATTAGGAATAGAATAGGCCCCGAACTCAAATGACGGAAAAACGACTCATGCATGAACCTAAAACATGGTCATGATGACATATATACAAAGTGTGTGCTAAGACTAGTGAGTTTAGATGACATGTTTAACTCGTGTCATGACCATGTGACTAGACTATGTGACTAGACGTAAACAAAGACTAAGTTAAGACTTCACGTATGTGCACTAAACCGGACAGGCTGTAGTATTTTAGTCATAACATTTGATCTGTGAATTTGAATTGGATGAAACCAACTCAAAATGAAAGATAAAACTCGGGGCTACATATCCATAGGTTATAAGACTCGTAATTCATTCTAGAACTCTGGATATGACCAAAACAAGTTGACGTTTGTGCAATATACGGGAATAAAAATCTGGGTTGACTCAAAGGAACTATGAATCAATTTTAGACATATTTATTAGCTCAAATTAATTAAGAAAAGTCATTAAGTCCTTTCTTAGTTTATTTAAGCATATTTATAATTACAAGTCAAACCAAACAATAAGTGTAATCACATGTAGGTCATACACAAGCAAGGAATGCACAAGTAGTTAAGTAAGCACAATATGATGCAATGAGTTTGCAACCTAACCATGGTTCTAGTTCTCTAAAGTTAAAGGATAATGGTTAGTTAAAGAGGGTCCATGGTTATGAGTCCGGATGCATCGCGCAAAAGCCTTACCTTTAGAAGGGTTGGCGTGTGTGGATGGGACCCGGCGAGTTATACTTGCTTCCACGGTTTGGTGAATTCAACAAACTCAGATGTACCATTCTCTTCCATGAGCGTTTGATTGGGTAGATAGAGCGTAAATTCCCAGAGGGTTATGGCCATATATAGAACACATATGGGTTCAGAAAAGAGGAAAAAAAATCAATCACGAAGTAAAACCGAGCAAATAGTACTAGAATTGGTCGAAACAAGAAGGTAGATTTCTGTCTTGGTATTGGAAGAGCTCGGCGCGAGACTACAGTGCCCGCCGCCAGACTATGAATCTGTCACCAGACGAAAATTACTGTTTCCAGGCAACAGAGCCATCACATTGCGATGGCATTGTTTTCTCAGCGCCAGTTCCTACATGCCTCAGCAGCTTTTGTTCTTGAATTTTCCAGTTTTTCGAAACGTTATTTCGATTCTAGTTGTGAAAGATATTTCCCTAATTTCCTACGTGTAAAAATCTTATTTTTTGACGCATTACGGATGGTCTTTTCAATGCGAATATTTTTTATGCTTATGCCAATAATGTTAATCAAAATTACGCACATGAAATACTTAGAACTTTTCGAGTCTCATCCACTCATTCTAAATTATTGCCAAAATAAGTTTTAGGAATTAAAATAGAAATTGTAGGGAATATTTCAAGAATCCCACACTTGAGCCCCACTGTGATCATACACTTAAGCATGGTGTCGTCCAAAGGGAAGAAAACTAGAGTAAAAAAAGAGTCGCCAACAAGTTTTAGGAACTTGTAAACCGTTCACAGGGTGAAGGTTACACCCCTTCACGATCCATGAGATCGCTAAATCCATAGTGGTCTGGAACCATGACTGGATATTCGGGGATGAAGTTACAAATCCAACTTA